TGTGTGTGTGTGTGTGTGTGTGTGTGTGTGTGTGTGTGTGTGTGTGTGTGTGTGTGTCAGTCTTGGAGCTTGAACTCTGGGCCTGGACATTGTCCCTGAGCTCTTCAGCTCAAGGCTAGTGCTCTACCACTTAAGCCACAGCACCACTTCTTGTTTTCTGGTGGTTAACTGGAGGTAAGAGTTTCACAGGCTTTCCTGCCCGGGCTGGCTTTGAACCTCGATCCTCAGATCTCAGCCTCCTGAGTAGCTAGGATTACAGGCGTGAGCCACCGGCACCCAGCTGTATTGATAACTTCTAACCAGCTTGTGTGGAGACTTTGTGCCCCCCTTGTCACTCACACATGTGCACATGCACACACACACATGCACACACACACACACGTCATGTATTAGCTGTTAAAATTCTATTTATGAACATAAAGAAATAGAGTACATTTCATGTGATCACTGTATTCATGGGTAATTAATACTTCTCTACCTTTGAGTTTTCCTTCTGAGAAGACAGTTCCACACTACTACTTTGTCCCTTTTCCTCTTTTATTCACTTCATCACAGGTGTAATGATTTACCTAACTAGTAAAGTTAATTAACCCAACTTTTGCCCTTATTCCATATAAAACTAGCTAGTCTTTCCCATGCTATTGAGTGGTTTTTCATTTGATGCTCGTGGGTAAGTTGTGCAGGGAGAGGCCTGCCTCTGTTTAGTGCTAAGCATGCACATGTCTGGGGTTCCCAATAGCAAGCCAATTTGGCCAGTATACCTCAAGCTCCCAGTAAGAAGCTGATATTTTCTTCTTTGTTTCATGGCTTGTTCATAACTTGGCTATTGGAATGATTGGACACCTTGGACGCTTCATACCATGAGCCTATTTTATAGATAAAAATCTTTAAAAATTGGACTGGGAATGTGGCTTAGTGGTAGAGTGCTTGCCTTGCATGCATGAAGCCCTGGGTTCAATTCCTCAGTACCACATACACAGAAAAAGCCGAAAGGGGTACTGTGGCTCAAGTGGTAGAGTGTGATAGCTTGAGCAAAAGAAGCTCAAGGCCAGTACTGGCAAAAACAAAACAAAACAAAAATCCATAAAAATGTTTTATAGATAGACTTTTTTTTCATGTACCTATGTAGAAAAAGGTCTGAAAAGATACACATCATAGTTGTAAGAGTGATGGTAAAATTAGGTTTCTTTTTTCTCTGCTCCTTGAAAATTCACATTAGGTATGTAATGAAGAAATAACCATTTTAGTCCTTTAACAAATATGGTCAGGTCTGACTTTCTAGAAGAATTAGCCTTATTTGTATAACAAAAGTATCTGGACCTAAGTAGACTTGTTTTTACCTAGATAGTTTGGTATTTAGATACAGAACTTACAGTAGGCAAAATACATTATTTTTCTAAAACCTGTGGTTTATAATTTCATCACGTATTTCAGACAATTTGCTCTCTTTTCTTTCTCTTATTTTTCATTTTCCTCATGGGGAGTAAGCTGGGGCTTTGTACATACTAGCCCAAGTGCTCTACCACAGAGCTACATCCTCAGTTTTTGAGACAGTCTCACCATGTAGCTCAAGTTGTCCTTGAACTCTGTGTAGCCTGTGGTGGCCTCAAACTCACAATATTCTTTCTTCTGTTTCCTGAGTGCTGGGCGTACTCTGTGCTTGGTAATGGTTTGTTTATTTATCTATAACTGTACTGACACTTGAATACAAGGCCTTATGCTCTTGCTCAACTTTTTTACTTAGAACTGTCACCCTGCCATTTGAGCCATACCTCCAGTTCTACTATTTGCTGGTTAATTGAAGATAAGAATCTCTGGTTTGTCTGTTTTGACTGACTTGGATCCTCCATCTTCAGGTCTCAGCCTCCTAAGTAGCTAGGATTGTAGAGGTGAGCCACTGGTATCTGGCTTGTATTTGTCTTTTGTTGAAAATTCTAGCTGTCCTCAAGCCTTATTTCTCTTTTTGCCTTTTAAAAATAATTCCTTGTCATATGTAAAGGAAACGACTCTGTATTCCTACTATCTTTCCTGCTTATCACCTGTCATATATGCTTATCATCTGTCTTATATACTTTGTTAAATTTGAAATGATAGGATACATTAATTAAAAAGAAATAGACACAAAAACTTCTCTACCTCTCTCATTTTCTTCCACTAGGATGACACCCAGGCCTCAGATACGCTAGCCAAATGCTCTTTCACTGGGCTGGGCTGCCAGCCGAGTGTTTTCTTTTTCCCTTTTTCTTATTTCTCTGCTTTTGTGCAACAAGGTCTCCAACATAGCCCAGATTGCCTCCATTGGCAATTCTCTTGCCTCTTTTTCTCTAGTGCTGGGATTATAGTAAGAAGCCACTGTTCCTGACCCTCATATAGTATTTAAAGTTTTACTTTAAAAAATGTTTAATCCTTTATACTACAAGGGAAAAAATGTGTTTCCCTTCAAATTGAGTTTTATATAGGTTAATATAACCTAGCCATGATGGCACACACCTGTTATGCTAGCACTTTAGAGCTGAGGCATTGTGAGGGTAACTAGGCTACATAGTGAGACCTTGTCTCAAAAAAAAAAAAAGCATGATAATACTTTTTAAATATTTTGCTATTTAATATTTGTGACCACAAAGAGACTTTTGATATTAAAGTACTTCTGGAATGGCGCTGAGTGGCTCACACCTTTGTCCTAGCTACTCAGGAAGCTGAGATCTGAGGGTTGTGAATTAAAGTCATCCCAAGCAGGAATGTCTGACTCTCATCTCCAATTAACCACCAGAAAAACCAGCAATGAAGCTGTGGCTGAAGTGTTAAGAGTGCTAGCATTGAACACAAAAGCTCAGGGTCAGGACCCAGGCCCTGAGTTCAAGTCCCGGGACCAGCACAAACAAAAAGAACTTCTGGATACACATTGTACAAGTAGAAAACAATACCCATAATGAGTCTTCCACCTCTGGTTTAATGTTTACCATTCTTTTTGTTGTTGTTGTTGATTGTGGGGCCTGAGCTCTGGGCCTGGGCGCTTTCCCTCAGCTCAAGGCTAGCGCTCTACCACTTGAGCACAGTGTCACTTCCAGCTTTATGTGGTGCTGATGAATCGAACCCAGGGCCTCATGCATGCAAGGCAAGCACTTTACAACTGAGCCACCTTCCCAGCCAATGTTTACCATTCTTAAACATGTTTAATTTTTTTCTTTTCTTTTGCCAATCCTGAGTCTTGAACCCTGTGTTTTGTTTTTTGTTTTTTGTTTTTACTTTGAGCTAGTGTTCTGCCACTTAAGCCACAGCTCCACCTCTGACTTTTTGCTGGTTAATTGGTTGTAAGGGTCTCACAGATTTTCCTGCCTGGACTGACTTTGAACCATGATCCTCAGAATCTCAGCCTCCTGAGTAGGTAGGATTACAGGCAAGAGCCACTGGCACCTAGCATGTTTAATGTTTTTACTAAATATTACTAAATAATAAATACTGTGTATTACTAAAGAACATATATTCTGTGGAAGAGCATACTAGTGTTCCAAATTCAGGACCTTGTACTTGCTGTACAACTGTTCTACCACTCGAGTTATGCTTCCAGCTCTTTTTGCTTTTAGTCAGGGCTGTGCCTCCCCAGTATCCCCCCCCCCAGGGTTAAGATCTGAGGATCGAAATTCAGAGTCATTTGGAGCAGAAAAATCCATGAGACAATTATTTGCAATTAACCAGCAAACAGCCAGAAGTAGAAGTATGGCTCAAGAGGTAGAGCTTTAGCCTAGAGTGAAGAGATAAGCAAGAGTATGAGACCCTGAGTTCAAGCCCCAGTATTAACACACAAAAAGGAAAAACTTATACATGGATGCTCATAGCAGAGAGGTATTCTTTATATTAGCCAAAAAGGGAGACTGGATGGTTGGGGGAGGGTGACTGAAGTGATGGAGGATAAATATGATTAAAGTCCAATATATGAATGTATAAAAAATAGAATAATGAAGTCAGGTGCCTTGGTTCAGGCATGTAATTTTAGCTGTTACAGAGATGGAGATTGAGAGTGTCACAGTTTGAGGCCAGTGCAGGCAAAAAGAAGTTGATGGGACTATGTCTCAACCAATGGTTGGGTCTTGTGGCATATGTTTTTATCTCAGCTACGGGGAAGACAATGGCTGGGCTCACTGGTACACACTGTCAGTCACACCCAGTGATTCAAAGAATATTCAAAGCAGAAGAATTATAGTCCAGACCCACCTGGGCAAAAAGCAATACCTTACCTCAAAAATAACCAAGGCAAAAAAGGGGCTATAGGGTGGCTTGCTATCAGGCTCCAGACTCTGACTTAAATCTCAGTACTGTCCCCCACCCCCACCAAAAAAAAAAAAAAGAAAAAAATCCATTAAAAATTGTAAAAATGGCAGGGGATTAAGAGAGAGTAATGAGGGTTGAATATGACCAAAGTATAAAAGGAAGTCAAATGTTCATAATTACAAATAGATGAATATATTGTATATGTACATAGTGGAATGCTGGCAGTAAAATAAATGAATTTGAAAACATTATGTTAAATAACAAGCCAGTTACAAAAATCTATACTGTATGATTCTGTTTATATGAAAAAGCCAGATAGGTAAATGTGATAAAGGGGAGAATGGGCAGTGAGTGCCAGTGAGTACAAGTCTCTTGTGAGGATGATAAAATGTTTAAAAATTAGGATGGATGGATAGATGGGTGGGTGGGTGGGAGGAAGATAGATACAGATACAGATAAAGTTATTTTTGTGGTATTGGAGTTTGAACTTAGGGCCTCACACTTTCTCAGTTTGCTTCTTTGCACTGCTAGTGCTCTACTACTACCTCCAGTCCTCCTTTTGGCTGGTTGTTTTAGAGATGAATTATTACAGACTTTTCTGCCCAGGCTGGCTTCAAACTTTCTCAGAAACTAGTTATAGATATAAGCCACTGTTGCCGGCCCTTTATTGGTGTTTTAGTATTTAGAAGACATATGTATATGTCTTTTGTATATGTTAATATGTTTTACAGAAAAAGCCACAAATGAGTACAACACCACAGAAGATTGGAGTCTTATTATGGACATATGTGACAAAGTTGGAAGCACTCCTAATGGGTAAGATGCTCAGTGAATGTCTAGTAGCTTGGTTTCCCTGTTTCCTCATGTGATAAAACTTTGAAAGGAAGTTGATACGTTAAAGTTTTTTTGTTTGTTTGTTTGTGTATATGTGTTTTACTGTTTTATTTTTTGAAGTAGTCTTGCTATGGAACTTAGGTTGGCCTCAAACTCATGATTCTCCTTCCTCACATTCCCATGTGCTAGGATTACAAGTGTGTACCACCATATCTGGCAAGATGTTAGTTTTCAATGTATATAACTAAATTATTATTTAAACTACTTATTTAACTGTACTATTTCGTTTTGGGAGGTAGAAGTAAAGAGATCCAGTAGGCCAGTTACATGAGTACCTTATCCTGAAAGAACAAATGGAAAAGGGTTCACCTGAAAACCTGCTCCATACTTTAACAGTCTTGACTCACAGAGCTGCATGTTAACCATGAATAGATGAGCTATTTGAGGAATTTGCTTATGACTTACACATGTATGAGCATCGGCTGTAACAATAGGTAATGTGAGGCGTGATTATAAAGATGAGTGATTTTGAAGTGGCAGTGGCGGTGAACTGGTCTGCTTCTACTCTGACATATACACTAGATTTCTCACAGTACATGCATTCATGTTTTAAGGGAGCCTTTGTTAAAAACATATCTTGCTAGTGGTTTTTCAAGATAGTATTTATTGTCTGAAGATATCAAAAGAATTCCTATGATATACTTCTTCATATTGATTTCTAAAATTATTTGTCTTTTGATGTAGGAATAAGCAATATTTTAAAGAATTGTTTTAAGATGTAGGATTCTGTGAATGAAAGATTGTGTAAAATTATTTTATAAACTATTAACTATAACCAAGCAGTGTCTAGGATTTTATCTTTAAAGGTGTTTGATTATATTTTTAGCATTTTGAGTTTAAATTCTCAAAATATACTTCTTTTTTTTTTTTTTAAGAGCAAAAGATTGCCTAAAAGCTATAATGAAAAGGGTAAATCATAAAGTTCCTCATGTTGCTCTACAGGCACTAACTGTGAGTACAAGTTATGTTATTTTATCCAAATTTAGTTTTTTCTGTTTTTATTGGCATGTATTAATTGTACAAAGGAGTTTCCTTATGTTTTCACACACCAAATTCTTCCTTCTTATTGACACAATTTTTAATTAAAAGAACATTCATTTTAATAAGACTGTCAACATTTGTGCATTAATTTTTATTTTAATTAATAGCTTCTTGGGGCTTGTGTGGCAAACTGTGGAAAGATATTTCATTTAGAAGTATGTTCCCGTGATTTTGCAACAGAAGTACGTGCTGTGATAAAAAATAAGGTAAATTTTTAAAAGAAAGTGAATTTTTAAATCATTAAAAATATGCATAATTTTAATTATACATAATAACAGAGTTGTATTATAAATGAAATCATTTTTAAATAAATTGAAATGAAGCTTCTTATTCCAGAATTTGATTTTTAATGCGTATTGCACCAAAACATATGTAAGAGCTAAAGCTATTGAAGTCTACGTAGTAGTCTGCTTTGTTTATTCTTAACCATACTTGAACATAGATTCTCTTCCTGTTTAAGAAGCTAGGGAATGTTTTCTAAGCTCATGTAGCAAGTATGTGGTATAGTTGAGATTCAGATTTAGTTTTCTGACTGTAACTACCATTCTCTACTGGCTTCTAATAGATTTGGTAAGCATAGAACAGAGAGGAAGGGACCTTCATGAGGTTGCTACTGATACCTTTGATAGTCTCATACTTTTAGTAAAGTTGATATCAAAATCAGTTGACTATTAAGACTGTTAAGTAAAATAGAGGACAGAATCTGTGAATATAAAAGATAGTGATTATGTAAGACTGAAGTTGGTGTTCTGAAAGGCTAATTTTATAAGAAGCAACTATTTTTAGGTGTATATAGGCATGTATCCATTTCTCAGGCAGGAATCATTGATATTCATATAATTAAAGACCGTTTTGGTGGTAATTCTATTAAATAATGAACTACATTTTGGGTTTTTTTCCCCATTTTTAAGGCTCATCCTAAAGTATGCGAAAAGCTGAAGTCTTTAATGGTGGAATGGTCAGAAGAATTTCAGAAGGACCCTCAGTTTAGTCTAATAGCTGCAACTATTAAATCTATGAAGGAAGAAGGAATTACTTTTCCTCCAGCAGGTTCTCAGGTGAGAGATTCATTCAGACCATGGTTGGACCCATACTTTTTATTTGAACACACACACGCACACACACGCACACCATGGGTTTTCGACCAAATACTGTCAAAAAGTGAATAAATTAAAAAAATTGAAAGACATTCCCAAAACAAAAATTATGTGCTGAGTCCTACTGAAGAGATTGAAATCAGGATTGGGGCTTGAAGCCAGCCCAGGGAGAAAAGTTCGTAAGACTCTTAGCTCCGAATTAATCACCAAAAAGCTGGAAGTGAAGCTGTGGCTCAGTGATAGAGCACTAGCCTTGAACAAAAAGCTCCACTGCCTGTGTGCATTGCACAATTCAGTTGAGTTCAGAGAAGTTCTAAAGTTGTTTGAAACATTGTGTGATCTGTCATTTCCCTGCTCTTAATTTTGTGATAATTAGCCTCCCAAAAGTGAGGTGAAAGTTACAGTAATCCTCCTACACCAAAAGTGTGCTTAATCTAATTGCTAAAGTGAAAATTTTAGATTTGTTGAAAGGCAACATGTTTTTGCGGAGCTTGGGTGGTGTTAATGAGAAAGTGAGTCAAAATCCAGTAGTTGAGAATAAGGCCTTGCTTTTGGTAGACAGTGTCAGTGGGTACAACAGTAAAGTTTACCTCAGTTTTGTAGCCTACTCTAAGCAGTTTGAAGTTATGGACGCTTATAATTCCTGATGTGTTAGATAAATCTGAGTAATTTTAAAGTACTGAACCTTGAGCATTTATAGTTTTTCCTCAGCAGCAGACTTCTTGGAACTATATACCCAAGGGTCTATTGCAGTATCTTATATTAGTAGACATTTTGATTTTTGAGTGTTTTTCTTTGACAAATCAAATCATTGAAAAGTAACTCAGATGTAAAATGTATTTTAATGTTACTCTTTGTCTGGAATTATGTAAAAGGTTTACATGTATAAGACAGCTCTTACGTTGAAGAATCTTATGGTAAATTTGAATGGTAGCCATATAAATGTAAGACAAAACTAATTTGAATTGAAAGTTTCAGTGGATGAAGGGTACATACTAGATATATCTATCCAAGAAAGGGAACTACAAATTAAGATGGTGAGGAAGTGAAGAGGAAGAATTTTGAGACAATATATTTCATGAGGTAGAATGGAGTAAGGAGATGATGGAAGGAAGGGAAGAGTAACATGAAGAATTATTTGTTGGAGAGGGGCTGTCTTAGATTTTTGCTCTGTTGTCTTCTGTTCTTCAGTTACTATTGTGATAGGGAAAGAAAAAGAAAGCTATTACTGTATATTTTATTTTGGACTACAGACTAAAGACACAAAGGATTTTATAGTAGTCCAGGTCTAAAAATACAAGGAAGAGCTTTGGGAGTAAAGTCCCATAAGTAATAAAAAGAAAGAAAAGAACTGCTCTGTCCTTTCTGCATATCATTTTAAAAAATCCATGTTACAAAATTGGATGATGGTTCAGAGTGCTGGGCACATATGCTAGGTATCTAAGTCATGTCTTACCTATTTTATTTAAGCATGACCTTTCTTTAGTCCTCTGCTATGCTTGAAAAACCAACACTATCCAACCCAGTGCATACTAGAAGAGTACTTCAAATGGCTCTCTGTCCTTTTTTGTACTCCCCTTCAGTAGGTCTTGACTTCAGGCTGGCACTTCTACAGACATGTGTGCTGATAGCAACAGAGCATCTTTCAGAATAAGAGACCCTGGATAGTAGAGATCAGGCAGTAAAATTAGTAAAATCATAAGTATTCATTCTCTAAATATTTCAGTACATTCTATGTGCCAGGTTCTATGTCAGATATGTACAATATGTAACATAAGCCAATTCATGACCTTTGAACATTTATATTGTTTTCTTGAAAACACTTTTTGGGAGGAGGTTGTGTTACTAAGTTTGAACTCAGGGCCTGTACTTACTAGGCCTACTACTGGAGCCTTGGTTGCTGTTTTATTTTAATATTAAAAAGTAACTACTCAAAATCATAAAGAACTTCTAAGTGGAATTCACTTATCAAAGTGTTTTTAAATTAGCATCAGAAAGTAATTATAGTGCTTGTGTTTTCCTTGAAAGGATGGTTGTGTTCATTTTATTCATACATTGCAGACTTTATCAGCCACTGCCAAGAATGGTACGTCATCAAGCAAAAACAAAGAAGATGAAGACATAGCTAAAGGTAAGGAATGAAACATGTATAATTTGGTAGCACTTAAAATATCCTCACCAGAAGTTTATTGAAATTGTAATAAACTTATATGTACATTAGTTCTGCCTCAGTTCCAAAAACTAATAGAGTCTTAAAAGTCAGGAAAACAAATGACATGAGATGAACTTAATTCATTTTCCTTTTGTATGATATATATTTTATGCCCTACTTTGGGAAAGACTACATTTTACCTTTTCTTTAATGCCAGAGTTATGAGTCAAGCACAGAAATATGTTCATGGCTCTCCTATATGGAAAGTTACCCATATTATAATGTCACAATCTGTTTGCTATAAAAATAATAGCTATATATGCCAGACTGTGGTAATAAGGAATGAGCAAGAACTTTATTTTTAAAAAATGCTGTGTTTGGGGCTGGAAAGGTGGCCCAGTGGTAGAGCACTTGCCTTGCATGTCTGAGGCTCTGGGTTCAATTCCTCAGCACCACATAAGCAAAAAGAAAAAAGCTGGAAGTGGCGCTGTGGCTCAAGTGGTAGAGCGCTAGCCTTGAGCTGAAGAGCTGAGGGACAGCGCCCAGGCCCAGAGTTCAGGCCCCACGACCAGACCCAAAATTAAAAAAAAAAAAAAAATGCTGTGTTTCCCTGCCTTGCCCGAGTCAACCATTTAACATTTATTTGGACAAATGAAATATCCACCTGGTTTATTGTTAAACTGTCACCTAATGTTTCCTTTTTTTTTTTTTATTGTGAACATACTGTACAGAGGGGTTACAATTACATGGGCAAGATAATGAGTACATTTCTTATCAAGCGTTGTAGCCTCCTCCTTTGTTTCCCCTTCCCATCCCATCTCTTCCTGCCCCCCCACCAAAGTTATAGAGTTCGTTTTCAACATAGGACTTGTACATCTCATTGTTGCAATGGGTCCACCTGTATCCCTAGTTAAACGATTTGTTTTTTCCCTTCCCCTCCACAAATTATACTGACATCAAATACAGTGAAAGTAGGGGTTATACCGTAGGGGAAGGACATACAAAGCAACAAAGAAATAATCTTATAACTGTGTTAGAAACAATCGCATGAAAGAAAAAAACATTTGAATACATATCTTAGGGTTCATTTCCCTAACAAGAATGGCTATAATCAAGAACTCTAATAACAACTAATGTTTCCTTTTTAAAAATCAAAATTAATCCTGGCTATCTTGTTATTTTGTGTTTTAATTTCTCAAACCAGCTATTGAATTATCATTGCAAGAGCAGAAACAGCAATATACTGAGACAAAATCCTTATATCCTACTGCCGAAATTCCACTAAATAATAAGGTTGCACGGATAGTGAGAGCTTTATATGATTTTGAAGCTGTTGAGGACAATGAGCTCACCTTTAAACGTGGAGAAATTATTATTGTTTTGGATGACAGGTATGTTTCAAATTTGTATTTATAAAATATTCTGTTATTTTAAAATACAGTAATCTTAAGTGAGATTCCCTAATGTTTGTTATTTTAACCTCTGAGTATATTTGCATCAGTAGAACTAATACCTTTCCTGTGGTAAAGATTAGATAATGGGAGTTTTATATACTTTTAAATCTGATGATAAAGTTTCCTTTATGTCCTGGATAAAAGATTTGTTAAATAATATTGTTTACTGTAGTTGGGAAACACATAAATATTTCACTCATTTGAATGCATTTACCTTGGGAGGGAAAAATATAAAAATTACTGGCAGAAAAAATTGAGGGAAAAATAGTTACTGTACTTTCCCTTAACCTAAAGACTTCTCTTTAATTCTTAATCAACTACTCTACTCTCCTCACAGTTTCTCTTTCATTTAAAGTTGTAAGAAAAAATAGTTTGATATATATTGAATCTAATTTTGTTCTGTGCTTTTTGTATGTGTGTGTCAGGACCTTGCTGTGTAGCCTAGGCTGAACTTGAATTTGTAATCCTTGTGCCTCACCCTCTTAAGTGCTGGAATTTTATGCATGAGCCACTAGGCCTAGCTTTAGGTTTTTGTTTTTTGAGGTTTTTTTTGGTCTCTTTGGACATTGACCTCAGGGCCTATACTATTAAGTCATATCTTCCAATGCTTTTGCTTTAGTGTATTTTTCAAATAGTGTCTCACTTTCACTCAGACTAGCCTCATACCACGATGCTCCTACTCTGAGTTCCAGGTGGCTGAGATTACAACTATGAACCACGGCACTAGTTTGTTTGTTGAGGTAGTTCTTGCTAGCTTTTCATTTTTGGCCTTGGCTGGCTGTGATCCTCCTATTTTCACCTATTGGATAGCTAGGATGACAGATATATACACTACCGTGTCTGTTTTTACTTTTACTTTTATAGAAGCTGAGGAAATTTAACAAGAGTGAACCCTGATAGCTTGTTGCTGTGAATAAAGCATAAGTATTTGGTTTCCATTACAAATAACTCAGTGAGCATATACTAGTTTAGTTTATATGGCTTTTTTTTCTTCTTCTTTTTTCTTTTTTTTGTTAGTTGTGGGTCTTGAACTCAGGGCCTGGGCACTGTCCCTGACTTTTATACTCAAGGCTAATGCTCTATCACTTTAAGCCACAGTGCCACTTCCAGTTTGTAAGTGGTTAATTGGAAATAAGAGTCTCATGGAGACTTTTCTGCCCAGGCTGGCTTTGAACCATGAGCTTCAGATGTCAGCCTCCCAAGTAGCTATGATTACAGCCATGAGTCACTGGTGCCTGGCTAGCTTAGTATAGTTCTTAAATGTGTAGATAATGGTTTTGCTTTGCTGAAGCAAATATTTATTGGAAATGTTACTTAATAGATAAACTATTTAAAATAAAATGAGGACAGCTGCAAGAAATTGAGAGTAAGAAAATTTAAGAGCAAGATAGTGTTGTATTCATTGAAAACCCTTTTAAAATAGCTAGCTAGCTAGATAGATAGATAGATAGATAGTGTCAGTCCTGGAGCTTGAACTCTGGACCTGAGTGCTGTCCCTGAGCTTTTTTGCTCAAGGCTGGTATTCTACCACTTGAGCCACAGCTCCACTTCCTGATTTTTTGGAGATGAGAGTCTCATGGACTTTTCCTGCATGGGCTGGCTTCAAACTGTGATTCTCGGATCTCAGCCTCCTGAGTAGATGTGATTATAGGCCTAAGCCACCGGTTCCTGAATGCTTTTAAATTTTTTAAGGAATAATTGTTTGAAGTGATGTATATGATCCCTAAAAGGAGAGTTAGTAGAAAGATGGAGATGTCTGCCTAAGCAAGTACAGGTCCTGAGTTCAAAGCCCAGTGCAAACAGAAAAAAAATAAAGGCAAAAATGTATGTTAACAAACACTCTGAGATGTCTAGCTTCAATAGCTTTTAGTTATAACTTATCAAAGAGTTTACATGTGTAATACTCTTATATAAGTATAAAATTACAGTCATACAAATAGAAACACAATTACAAGTTAAGTGGGTTTTGCCTACATTAAAACTTATTTTATATATAAAACTGTCTAACTTTTCATGCTCAATGTTCATGTAATAGTGACTAGGCATAGGTATACTTCTGCAGAAACGTATTATCCTACGCTGCGCAATAACTTAGTTCTCCCCTTCCTTCCCTTGTAGCTGCTCTGAATCTTTCATACAGTACCAGTTTTGTATTTAGCTTTCATGTAGCATTCCATAGTTCCTATAGTACATTACTGTGCTATACTATGTTTTTTTTCACAAATTAGTTAATTTAGACTCTTGTTAACTATTTTCAGTTGAGAGTTATGCAAAAAGCTCTTTGTAACTGTTAAGAGAATTCAACAGAAGTAGAATGTAGTATGTAGACCACTTTCTGTCATTTTCATAACAGGACATCCCACTCTTGGTTGCTGTAGACATGCTTATCATTGTATGTTGAGGTAAATGTATGTTGTCAATGTTAATTCCTAACCACTGGCAGGATTTCAACACAGATGCAACTTGATTGCTAAAGTTAGAGTGTAGAGGGAAGTTGTTTCATATAGTATGGTACATGCCCGCTTGTACTCAGCACTCAGGAAGAAGAAGCAGGACTGTAAGTTTTTGAACAAAACCTTGTCTCAAAAAAACAAAAAAATCCACCACAAAACTATCCTCTGTTAGAGGATCTTGGCCCAGATAGAAGAGTTCATTAGACTTCCCTCTTTAAAATAACCAGAAAAAAGCAGGGCTCAGCAATAGAACACCAGCCAGCCTAACAAGCATGAGCACCGGAGTTCATACCCAGTATTGGCCCCCCCCCCCAAAAAAAAAAGAAACATCCAGATGCTCCAGAAGTGATTCTTTTCATTGGTTTTATATTACTGTGAAGTTAAAAGCATAAAAGTTAAGCATTTTCATGTACGGAATTTAAAGTGCTTTCAACATATATCATTCTTGAATCACATTTTAAAAATCACTGCTGATAGCATGTACATTTCTTATTAACAGGTATACCAAAATCCTTCCATTTTCTACATTTTAAAGCCTTCCCTAGCACTCTCTGTTTTGTTCTCTGTAGGCATTTCAAATAATTGAGTGCCGTTTGTGCAGTTTCCAAAATGTCATGTTGGGATTAGACCTCTGTAGCCTTGTATGTTTGGTTCTCTGCCTGGAAAGCCCTTTTTGGGGACACAAAAGCATTTAGCAAAGTTCGACGGTTGGGTAAATACAAAATGCTATTTTAAGGAAATTCCAGAATTTCAGGGTTTGCTTTCTGTGTTAGTGGTAGACGCAGCATTTTCTTACACAGTTATTGCTGTAATTCTTTATTGTTGTGGCCGTCCTTGAAGCACTCATGCAAATGCTGCCAGGTGAGTCAGCTTTAGGTTCAGAATGTCCTTTATTTTGACACCAGAAACTACATAGGATAATCTTTTTTGTACTATCATCTGAGTTCAGAGGGGTTTTTTCCTTCTTTTTTTTCTTCTTTAAATCTTCTTATTTTCTGGTTTATGTGTAATAACAGTAGGCAGATACTTTTATTTCGGCCATCCCCTCCCCCTTTTTTTTCTCTTCCTGGTGAATTCCTACTCAATCTTCAAAACAAGTAAGATGTAACATCATCTAGAAAGCCTTTTAGCCCTTCTCTGCTTTTAGCTCCCTGTAGAGTTTGGAGTCGTCCCCCCCCCCCCCCTTTTTTTTTTTTTGTCCCCTGCTACTGTACTCCTAGACACAGATACCAGCATTCCTCTTAGTATATTTTAAGTGGATTCTGAACAGGCTCAGCAATTCCCTGGATGGGAAGAAAGAAGAATGAGAAACCAAATCCCAGAAAGGACAGCAAAAGGCTGAAAAGCACAGAACTGAATTTAGTATTTCTTGAGGATGAAAAATGGTGTCTTACTATTTTATATTTTACTTCAGTGCTTAGTGTGGAAGTATTATTCTGTCTTTGTTAGACTTTCACAAATGTTAGTAAATAAATTTGTTGATGGTAAAATTTGTCCCTTATGTTTACATCATTTTTCACTTAGTTGTGATTTATCCTTTCTTAATATAAAAATTATAGATATAAATATCATATTTTAAATCTTAAATGATCAAATTATAGTGCTTTAGGAGATAAAAATTGAGCAGTTTTTTTCCTCTCCCATAAAATCAGCTGGTAGAGAAAATAGTAGATTGAGACTAGGAAAGAATCATCACGCTTTAAATTGGTGTTTGCTTGTCTTGCCTACTTTCATGCTTCATCATGATTTTAATCCATGAATACATGGACTAAAAAAAGATAAAATCATCAACATGGTAAAAGTCAGGTGAGAAGGAATTTGTTGAAGTTAGTGCCTAGCACTTGTAGGCAGGTGCTCTAGCACTTGGGCCACACTTGCATCTCTTTTTGCTTTTTATTACTTTTCAAATATCTGGGACCAGCTTTGGACTTTGATCTCCTACCAATACCTCCCACGTAGCTTCGACAACAGGTAGACCTCACTATCCTCAGCTTCTTTACTGAGATGGAGTCTTGCTGACTTTTTGCCATGACTGGCTTAGAACTATGATCCTCCTGATGTTTGCCTCTCAAGTAAATAGGATTGCAAATGTGCACTACCACACCGGGGCTCATGTCTTTTAGTGGTAAAAGGCTAGAAACAAATGATACAGACTTCAATGTTGTACTTTTCAGTGTCTTTTGTTGTTGTTTTCTGTTTTAAAACTCAGAGCCTTGTGTTTGGAGGGCTTGCTTGCGCAGCCAGCACTGTTACCAATTGAGCCACATCACAGGCCCTGCTTTTTACTTGTTAATTGGAGCCTTACAGTCATTTCTACCCAGGCTCTTTGAGCTTAAATCGTCAGATCTTAGTCTCATGTGTAGCTAGGATTTACAGGTATGGGCCACCATTGCCTGCCTCAATTTCTTTTATTAAACTTAGGAAAAACATATTTCTTTTGTATAGCTAGATACTTCAGAGTAGGGTAAATTACATTTTTATGTAATTCCTCTTGATACTAACACACTAAAATGTAGAGGAATAAAGGCTACTTTGCCTTTTGTTTTCAGCGATGCCAATTGGTGGAAAGGAGAGAATCACAGAGGAACAGGACTCTTCCCATCTAATTTTGTAACAGCTAATTTGTACCTTGAGACAGAGGCAGGTAAGTTTAAGTTTGTCACTTGAGTTTTATTATTGGCATTTAAGAATACATTCTACCTGTGTTTTAAATGATAAGTATTACAATTTAACATCGTTAATCAAATGAAGTGATTCATTTATCTCCATGTCAATTTTAGGGGAGTTGCCTTACATACTTCATGAGACATAATGTGTATAGTAACCATACAAATAAATGTTTAAATCAACCTTATACTGTGAGATCTGGTTTGTGTTTTCTCTATAAAAATAATACCTCATAGGCCTAGTGGCACCAGCTCTGGAAACCCTTGTTGGGAAGTGTCAGCATGATGACCTGAGTAGGAGTGCCCTAAATTATAAACAAGATACTGAGGGTTCTGCATCATGTGCTTAGAACTTTACCTGTAGCCACATGTGGTACCCTCAGACCCTATCACCCTTGCTGAGAAAGCATGGCTTTATCTGCAAGTAGGAAGTGTGAAATCTCAGTGAAGCAGTATTAATGATGATAGTCACTGTGTTGAATCCTTTGAAATGCTTCACTTGATTTCCACAATTTTGTGAGATAGATTCTTTTGTTACTCTTATTTACAGGTAAGGAAACTGAGGCAGAGGTATGTGATAGAGCCAGGACTTAAGTTCTGCAGTCTGTCCTTCAGAGTATGCTTAGTCTACTTACTGAGGCATATATTAATGCTAATCCTTATCAGGTTTTGAAAAGAAATGTAAAATGAAAAAAAAAAAAACCCTACATTATATTTAGTCTTGTCTTTGTATGTGGAATGATAATACCAGAAAATCAAGTTGTGAGATGGTGGTACTCACTTGAATACTGGTAGGTACATTGTCACTACTTATGCTTTCTTCCTAGTCTTAACATTTATAGTAGATAGAAATATTGGAGTCTATTTTGTTTTGTTTTTTGGTGGTCTGTGCCAGTCCTAGGGTTTGACCTGTTAGATAATAATATGCTTGTAGTTTTTACCCATGTTTTACCTTGGTGATTCTGCTAGAGCAGAAGCTCGGTGAACACAGTATTCCTATGTGCCTTGCTCCCTGGTATATGTGTAAATACCTATGATTATATATGACTCCATAAGTACTAAACAAATACCATGACACAAATGTATAAATATATGAAATACACGGTTATAAAATGTGATGACTAAAGAGCTTCCTTTTTTTTTTTTTCTTATGGATGGTCATAGGCCGTTTTAAAATTAATGACTTAATTGACTAAATGCTGAAGAATTGAAATTTACTTTGTTTCCGTAGCAGCTGTGGACAAATTGAATGTAATTGATGATGATGATGAGGAAACTGAGGATTCAGAGGCTGAGTCCATTTATATAGATGAGGTAGAGTTTTTCTTTTGTCTAATAGTTAAACTGTCAAGACTTTTAATATGTATTGTCTTTGAGAATGCCTGGAAAGAGTTATTTTCTATTCACCAAGTAAAGTTTCTTAATATTTTTTAAGGATAAAATGGATAGAGCCCTACAAGTTCTCCAGAGTATAGATCCAACTGATTCCAAGCCAGACTCTCAAGACCTCTTGGAGTTAGAAGGTATTTTAATTAATATTAGAGATTACTTTAAGGTTACTGCTAGCATTGTGTTTTTTCTGCTTTGTGTTTGATTTTTTGAGATTTGAAATCTCATGGAAAATAGGCAGATATTTCTATAATAGTATAATGTTCACTTAAAAGGCATTATCATACTTACATATTTGTTATAAATATACTCTCCAAGAAACACTAGAATCACAACAATAGATGTGAAAATAAAGCATTGCGTCAGCAAGGCAAAATTTACTTCTGCAGAAAGGGGTTGCCATCAGCCAACAGTCTGGTAAGCAAGCACACAGAGCAGCAAGCTGTCCCCCTATTTATCCCTAATGCAGCAGGCCCTGCCCCTTTACTCAGATTGGTTGAGCTGAGGTCTACAGTCTGCTCATGATTGGCTAGTTTGAATAGCATACAATGTTTTTACATAGGGGAGTTTGACATAAGATTAACAGTATGAAAGTAATCTCAAAATATACCCACACCCCTGCTGTTTCTTGACTAGTTTGAAACATGTCTTAATTCCATGTTGAGGAAAAACCAGTTTAAGACAAAATCTTACATTTCAAAAACTCTTTCTTATCCAAAAGCAATTCCTCTTTTCCTTAACCAGAGCCTAGCCACCAGGCCAAAGCAGGAACTTTTTAGCAACATACTTTGATAGAAAATACAATTTTTTTCACATATCCTTTTTTTTTTTTTTTTTGATTCCTATCTTGGGACTAGAACTCAGGGTCTGAGCAATGTCTCAACTCTTTTGCTCAAGGTTAGCATCCTTACTACTGAGCCACAACTTCACTTCCAGCTTTTTGGTGGTTAATTGGAAATAGGAGTCTCACAGACTTACCTCCCCAGGTTGGCTGCTAACCATGATCCTCGGATCTTAAAATCCCAAATTGCTAAGATTATAGGCATGACTCTTAAGAACCCAGTCACATATCCTTTTCAGGAAGGGAAATCTGTGTTCCTATAAGCCCACTAATGAAATAGGCTAAGGAAATCTTCAGTCCAACAAAAATGAAGGACACAGTTGGCAATAACAGCATACTAAATTAATTTAAAGTCAGATGTTCTGTTTTCTTATTCTTGTTTAATTGTCTTCTATGACTTCAGAGGTCTTCATTTTACATGCTCAATATTAACTTTGTAATGTAGTCATTTGATGCATGACATTTTCTAGTCTCTAAGAAATCTGAAGCAAAACCAAATTTCTTATGCTTTTTAATAGTCCTTTGAGAGAAAAATGTAAATGGATAAATTTTAAATCTTTTTGTTGAAGAAAGTCTGCTTTTGGGAAATAAAAGAAATGATGAAATAAGGATACAGGATGATCCATTGTAACAATGAGATGTACAAGACACTATGAACTTTACAACCTTGTGGGAGGGGGGGAGAAGGAAAGGGATGGTAGGGAAAAACAAAGGAGGGGCTAACAATGCTCGATATGAAATGGACTCATTACCTTGCTCATGTAACTGTAATTCTCTGTACAGTATCTTTACAATTAAAGATATATATTTTTAAAAAAGGAAGAAAAAAATCTAGAAATTTAAAAAAGTCTGCTTTTGGAATATAGAATGTTGTGATATTTATTGTATATGCTTTTACATTTTGAAATACATACAATGTTTAATTTGAAAATAGTTAAAATGTTTATATTTAATCAGCTGTGACCTGTTCATTGGTTATATGACAGTAATAATAGAATGGTACTAAATCATATTAAAAGTCTGTCCTTTATCATCACTAGCATAAACTTCATTTTTACTGTATTATGGTTGCTGTTGGATATGGATACTGTCTTGTTAAAAGTTACTGAAATTAGCTTAAACTTGGTTAAGTTTCTAGATTTGAAAGTATTTTTGTATTTACAGATATCTGTCAACAGATGGGTCCAATAATAGATGAAAAACTTGAAGAGATTGACAGGTAAGATTTTTCATACAAAAAAAAACAAATATTAGTGTTCACTTGTTTTTGTTTTGGGTTTTTTTTTTTGACTTAGAAGTAATGAAAATTTTTGTGAAACTATATTGTCTGTTGAAAATATTTTTCAGTTTCCCAAATTCTTTTTTTTTTTTTTTAATTTAATTTAATTTTATTTGTGAACATACTGTACAGAGGAGTTACAGTTACATGGGCAGGATAATGCGTACATTTCTTACCAAGCATTGCAGCCTCCTCCTTTGTTTACCCTTCACCTCCCTTCCCAGCCCCCCCAATCCCAATCCTTCTCCTTCCCCCCCCCCCCCCCACCAACGTTGTAAAGCTCGTTTTGGACATGACAACTTGTACATCTCATTGTTGCAACAGGTCCACCTGTATCCTTAAACAACTGGTTTTTCCCCATCTCCTCCACAAGTTATACTGACATCAAATATAGTGAAAGCAGGGGTTATACTGTGGGGGAGGGACATACAAAGCAACAAAGAGATAATCTTATAAATGTGTTAGAAACACACGCATGAAGTTTCCCAAATTCTTATGAGCTAAAAGCAGTGGGTTTTTTTTTTTTTGTTTGTTTGTTTTTGCTTTCTCCTCAGTACTGAGGATTAAACTCAAGAATACTCTTATCACCTGCTCCATACCTGAAGTCCTTTCATATTTAATGTGTTTTTCAGATAGTGTCTTATGTCTGGACAGGTCTTATACTTCAATCCTCTTACCTCTACCTCCTGAGTAGCTGGAATACAGGCACGTACCCTCACACTGGCTTCTTTTTAAAGTAGTGTCTCACTGATTTTTTTCCTGGCTAGCCTCAAACCTCAGTCCTCCTTTCTCTGCCTTCTGATAGTTAAATTATGGCCTAGGTGGTGTTTTTTTTTTTAATTTTGGTAGCAATTTTTTTCTAATATCAGTATTAGAGTATGAGTAGAATTGATGACTTTTCCTTTTGCATGCCAGTCATTTTCTTACATAGGCTAAAATTGAAGGGATACTGAATAATGAAGAATAAAGTCCATTGAGAACAAAGTGAAATCAGAGCTTCATCCTAGGCAAGCATTGTCTTGTAGTGCAGCGCGTAGTGATGTTGCTAACAGCCTCAAGGGAAATTTCCCTAATTTGGGAAGAAATCCAATGCAACACAATTTCCTCTTCTTTCTCCCCACCCCCCACATCTTTGTATCCCTCCTTTTCCCTCCCCTGCATAGATTTGTGCTCAAGGTTAATGCTCTACCACTTGAACTGCAGCTTTTTGGTGCTTAATTAGAGGTAAGAGGCTTACCAACTTTCCTGCTTGGGTTGGTTTGGAACCATTATCCTCAAATTTCAGTCTCCTGATTAGCTAAGATTATAAGCATGAGCCACCAGTACCCAGCTTTTTCTCTTCTTTTAATTTTTTGCTATCCTAGTTGCACTGTTCTTCAGAAATAGCAGCAACACTTGAGGATAGGCCCTCAGAGGCCTTGCAGCTTGGTTCTGTATCCTTCTCTCAGTCCTCAGTGTTTTATGTCTGGCATGAGAGAGCAAAGTCATACTGGGTGGAAGATAAGGACAAGCCCTAACTAACATGACTATCCCTTGCATGCCCAATTTTATAAACAACACAAGAAAAAAAGGATTATCACCACCAAAGTATTAAGGAGAGCAGGAACTACTTTTCGCCTCTACCAGGGAAATGAAGTGCTTTTACAGGAGGCTTTCAGGACATTAGATATTATCATCTTCATTCCATTGAGTGGTTTTTACATAATTTTTTTTTGTAAAAAGCAAATCCCTACTGCAATTAATAAAACAACAGTGGTAGTTTAGACATATTTTAGAGGAAGTATTAAATATGTATTCATACATCTACTTTGTTTTAGTGAAGGAATGTTAATGATCAAACTAGAGAAGATTAACAGAGAAAATGATCACAATGATTATAGGTGAGGCTGGTGTAAGTTTAAATTTTCTTGGACCTAAAGATTCGTTTCCTTTAATGTAGCAATTCCAAGTCCATACTGATGGACAGAGAGCTGTTAAGGTGCTCATCACGATGCTATTCATGGCAACAAACTTGGAAGTAGCTAAAATATCCACACATTCTGCCATTAGAAATCAGTGTCATTGGTGAATTAGTTATTCATACAGAAAGATGTCTTAATATATGAGGCAAAAAGTAGAGGCTTGTAATCTCAGTTTTGTTAATAAAAAGATTATCATTCAAGAAAAACGTGTTTAGAAAAATAAAACTCAGAGTAACCATTCCTGGTAAGAGTTAAGTTTCCTCATTTTCAATTTGTGGAAAGCTGTTAGTCTCTTATTCTGTGGCCACTGGTGGCAGAAGCAGTGCCTGTACTACAAAATGCTTCATATTCAAAGAGCTTCATTGACTGTTCATGTCTACTGGGGACTCAAGAGTACAATAGAAATATTTACATTATGTATGGAGAGTGAATATATTTTCCTTTGAATGGGTCATCAATTCCTTATTCCATAGACTTAGAAAAACTGTCAAAATTAAGTTGTACATTTCATGCCTATCATAGTGGAGAATACGATTTTGGAACATTGATCACACTAAATGGATAAACATGTAGGTTATTAAATGCAAATAGATTTATTGATGAGCAATCTGCTGGAGATAATTATATGTTCCAGTCTGTTGTAATCTGATCTGCTATCCTCCCAAATTATTTTCAGCCATTAAGTTGCTATTTAAATTCTTCCCCTGTGGACCTCGCTTGTTCCTAAACTTTCTCTTTCTTTTAGTATAACATTTGCTTTTTGCCAGTACCAGGATTTGAACTCAGGGTTTTGAGCTGGCGTGCCTTGCTTGCTTGGTGTTAACAAGCATATATACTTGTTATATATGAGCCATATACTTCCAACTCAGCTTTTTGTTGGTTATTTTGGAGGTGCAGTCTCATATGGATCTTTCTACCCAGACTGGCTTTGAACTGTGATCTTCTGTGTTTCAACTTCCTGAGAAGTTAGAATTAGAGTATCCAAATCTTCTAGTATGGTTTTCATCTCCATTCAGTAAAATGTTGTTAATGCTTTTGGGCTTGTGTCCCAGATCCTTAAAGATGATTTCAAACACAATAATCATGGCTTTCTACTGTGCTCTCTTGGTGTTTCATCGGCATGTGTATTATGTGGACCAAATTTTTATGGCTAGTTTTTAGTCACACACTTGTAAACATATATTCTTAATTTCTGTAGCTATTGGTTCTATTTCTAGATAGAGGTTAAGCTAATTTATATAGTCATTCTTTGTTGTTGTTGTTTGGTTTAGATAAATTTTGAAATGACTCAGTTCTGGTCATTTACTTATAGTAGCCCTGTATCTGTTTTCCTGCCTCTGCTTCTTGTGTGAACTACATTCAGTAATCAGCTTGTGGGTGCTTAAGCCAGGCAAAAAGTGACCATTTAATTTTTATAAATTTGTCAATTTATCACTCCTGGATAACAAACAAAATTGTACAAGTCAACAATTTTCTCAGACTCCATGAACAAATGTGTAAATGTCTATTTGTACTTATTATTATAAGTAAAGTACCTGACTTCATTTGCTTTCTCAAGGATTGATCAGTCAACAAACAAGAATAATAAAGGCTAGCTTGTGAACACATGGTATTCCTTGCATTTTCAAGGATAATTATTTTTTAGTTCTTCCAGGGATAAAAACATAATGAAATAAACAAATGAAACTGTCGTCTTTTTTTGCTTACCTGTGCTCTTCATATTGAATGTTGTACTTCATAGGGGCTCTGGGGCCCTGCCTGCATACTATTTCTTTACTGAGAATTATCATTATGACTTAGAGTCTTACTTAAATTATGAAACTATTTTTCTTTATAAATGAATTTTTAAGAGAAATCTATAAAGTATTAAATGAAATTCTCTTAGCATCAAAATTATGAATTGATTGCATTTTGTGAGGTGTGGAACCAATTTTTCCATAATATTAAAAAGTCATATCAGTCTAGCTATTCTAATGATTAATTTTTCCTCCTGTTTCCCTTTGTGACTATGCTTTCCTTGCCTTGTATCTAAAATGTCTTAAAATATGAATAGAAGAATGCTAAATTTAAAAAGTAATTTACATTTCTAAGTAACATGCTTAAAAACTGGAAGAGTGTGAAAATCCTTTTCTTTTATATCAGGAAGCATTCAGAACTGTCTGAGTTGAATGTAAAAGTCTTAGAAGCCCTAGAACTGTATAACAAGTTGGTGAACGAAGCCCCAGTCTATTCTGTTTATTCAAAGCTCCATCCTTCAACACATTACCCATCTGTATCAGCGGGGGTTCCAGTGCAGGTAAGATGTTTTTGAGAACACTTTCACAATTATTTAAAAAATGGTTAAAAATGGTTAAGAGCATAGTATTAAAATTTGTATGACCCATGAATAAAAGTGTAAGGCTTACTGTGTTAGTTTTCCATTACTGTAACAAAATACCTGAAAAAAAGTCAACATAAAGAGATTTATTTTGGTTCAAAGTCTCAGATGTTAAAATCCAGGTGAGACTGAGACATGGTGGGAAGCTGCAGAGACCCATGGCTCCACAGCTGTAGGGAAGAGAAGGTGGTCTGAGGACCAGATAAAGCTTCAGGGGCGCGCCTGCTTTCACCAACAAGGCCTTACCTCCTTCATTCAGCAACGAATTTATTCACCCGTGAATTCATCAGTGGATTAATCCACTGGTGAAGCTGACACACTTATGATCCAGTCACTTCTTGGTATCACCATCATCAGGGCACCAAACCTTCAACACATGATCTTTTATGAATGGATTTTTTTTTTTAAGGTAAATGGTTGTTGCTTAAAAATACTTACTAAACATGTCACCATTGGCTATGTATAAGTAGGGGGGTAAATATTAAGTACTAAGAATACTTCATATTAAGAAAACTTAAGAACATTAAGTATTAAGTGTGATCTAACTATGTAAGCCATGTGTGTGCATGCTTACACAGGTACGTAAGTGTGTGCGCATGTGCTGGTCCTAAAGCTTGAACTCAGGGCCTGGGTGCTCTCTTTGCTTTTTTGTTCAAAGCTAGTGCTCTGCCACTTGAACCACAGTTCCACCATTTTTGGCTTTTTGGTGGTTAATTGGAGATAAGAGTCACAGACTTTCTCACCCAGTCTGGCTTCGAACTGCAATCTTCAAGCTTCCTGAGTAGCTAGGATTAGAGTTATGAGCCACTGCTGTCTGGCCTTTTAAAAAAAAAAAAAAATACATATTTTAAATGAGGATACATCTTTTGGTTTACTCATAGCTCCTTCTGCTCTATCTGGTGATACTATAGAAGTTGGCAGAGAGGGCTTGACACCTGGATACCATTATCTTTCAACCTTTGCTCCTAGAAGGATTTGGATGAGTCATCCTGGGATGTGAGTCAAGAAGTTCATCATTGCAAGGGTGACTGAAGTGTTATGAGGGATTTCTTTTCAAGGAAGTATTCACAAATAACTGAATAATAAGTACTGTAGTTTAGATATGGGGCATTGCATATCCAAACCACTTATCTTTGATAATTTCAAGAAGTATTGTCTAGTATGTACATAGTGGCTTAAGACTCTCCTTCAGCTACATGAGAGGTCTTAGTAGAATCAAAAAAGTGTGAGATACTATCTGAAAAATAAAGCAAAAATAATTAGAGGCATTATTCAGCTTTAGCTGCTTAAGACCCTGAGTTCAAACCAAAGTGTTGGCTAAACGGTGTTCCCCAGAAAAGTTAGTAATATTAGACAGATAGATATTTTTTAGTTCAGTTTTTTGTAAAATACCATTAAGTGTATTAGGGATATTCTTTTTTGTTTGCCTTTGTAAATATGAAGTATAAATCTTTACATACATATAAAATCCTTTTTCTAAGTATAGAACACATGTCCTTTGATTTCCTGACCTCTGGATGAGGTACTGGTGCTGTTAAACAAGAAACTGGAATATTTCTTTAAAGATATCTTTCAAGATTTTTTTGACTTCCATGATTATAAGTTAATAAACTTCCTTTGTTCTCAGAGGATGCTTTTTATTTCCTTGGATGCATGACATATTATTTTTAGAAATTCATGCATAATGAAGATATATGGAGGTCTATGAAATGCAAAACCTTTTTTACATATTCCCCTTTTTGTGCTTGACAGCTGAAATGAATGCCAGTATTGCCATTGAGAAGTTGTTTACATTTTAGCCAATTTACAATGAAATTCAAAACGAGCTTGGATGGGAAAATTTGTGTTAATTTTTGAAAAGTGGTATGTAAAGAAATGTGTGAAGGAGGGCTGGGAAGGTGGCTTAGTGGTAAAGTGCTTGCCTTGCATGCATGAGGCCCTGGGTTTGATTCCTCAGCACCACATAAACAGAAAAGGCTAGAAGTGGCGCTGTGGCTCAAGTGGTAGAGCACTAGCCTTGAGCTGAAGAGCTGAGGGGCAGTGCCCAGGCCCAGAGTTCAGGCCCCACGACTGGCAAAAAAAAAAAAAAAAAAGAAATGTGTGAAGGAAACACCAAGGAGGATAGGTAGAATGTAGGTGCATAAATTAGATGACTGAACATAATGAAATTATTTAGTTTAAAAAAATGGTTACTATGGTAACTGTCACATCAGACAAGATGCAGTTATCAAATATGCCATGTCTGAACTTTGAAAATTATATAGGATTTGCGGAACAAAAACACTCGTAGAGTTTATCCATTATTACTTGTGTTTACCACAAATAACTGTTTGTTGCTTCTATGAAAATGAAACAAAAAAGAAATCACTACACATTTTATGATAGAACTGTGTTTGCTTCTTTCTGTGTCTGAAAATGGTTATTGTGATTGTTCCTGTGTCAGGCTTTTGTGTTTAGTTGTGTTCCATAATCTGTCTTGCTAAGCACAACTAATTTTTTAAAAGCTAATTTTGTTTGTTTCTTTGCATAACACTATCCACCCTATCTGTTCTCTTTACATATGAGTATTTTGAGATATTCAAAAATTCTATTTTAATTTGAAAAATATCTCAACTAGAAGCTAAGAGGGTAATATATATTTAGTTGTGTTGTGTCTGTGAAAGTCACTCAGGAATAGTAAAACACTGAGAGTTTTTTTTCTACAATCTTAGCCTCTTAGTGGGTTGTTACATGTTTGCTGAAGAGGTAATGTGATTGTACTTAGTGTACTTTTTTTGGCATTCCTACTATCTTAAATTTTAATGTGAATGGTGATTGCTTAAAAAATCATTAACTTAAAATAATTAGTTGAACATGGGCACAATTGACTATGTATAAGTAGACTCTACTCTTAAGAATTGTTTCCATGAATATTAAGCCAGGCACATATAAGGATCTAGCTACTTAGTCCTTTTTTTTTTTTTAAATGAGGATACATTTTCTGGTTTACCCACAGTTACCTCTGTTCTGTCTGATATCAAGGCAGGCCATATAGAAGTTGCCAGAGAAGGCTTAACATTTTAATAACACTCTTTTTCAACCCTTCTCCTATAGAGAGGAATTTTTTTTTTAATGTTTTTTGTTTCTCCTTTGGTCATGGGCCTTGAACTCTGGGCCTGGGCTCTGTCCCTGAGCTCTTCAGCTTAAGGCTACTGCTCTACCACTTGAGCCACTGCGCCACTTCCAGTTTTCTGGTGGTATTATTGGAGTCTCGTGGATTTTCCTGCCCAGGCTGGCTTTGAACTGCAATCCTCAGATCTCAGCCTCCTGAGTAGCTAGGATTATAGGAGTGCCACCAGTGCCTGGCTTAGAGAAAGGAGTTAAATGAGTCATTCTGGAATGAAAGTAAAGAAAGCCATTCATCTTGAAATGATGATGGACTTTGCTTCAAAGGCACATTTACTGTAGATTAGATTCCAACCTACTACTCAAAAATATACTACCTCTTTTCTTTTTGTCTTTCTTCACTCTTATAAAACAAAGGAACAACCAAACAAGCCATGACTTTTCATATATCTGACACCAAATTGGAAGTGCTCTGCTTTTAAAAAAATATTTTATTGTCATTATTAAGTTGTACTCTTAGAGGGATTGCCATCTCACAATTCAAATAATACATTTCTCTTGCTCTGCTTTTTGTTCTTAGGTGGATAGGTGGTGGAATCAGATTGCTCGCCAAAGAAATTTAACATTTTCTTTCCTTTAAAGTTTTAGGTCTATTAGGTAAATGTCTGAGAGAACAGTGATTCGATTTTTTTCTCTTTCATTGATAGACATATCCAGTTCAATCACATGGTGGAAATTATATGGGTCAGAGCACTCACCAAGTAAGCTATGGCCTAGGACCAGATCATATTGGTTCACTCAGATCCCTTCCTCCACATGTAAATTCTTCAGTAACAATCCATCCTGCGCCAACTCCATATTTAAGGTAAGTTTAGGAGTGCTGTGTGAATTTTTCAAAGTCTTTCAGAATGAGACTATGTAGACCTTTCTTTTTATAAGAATAGTTCCAAATTTTACTCCTAAAACGAGTTATTGAAGTATCTATTCATTAGCTTTGCTAACCATAGTGTGATGGTCACCAAGACTTAGACCTACAGTTTGAGTCCCTAAGGACACAGTAATGATCCTTTGTAGAGACTAAGCCCATCGTGTGCTTTTAGTGAGGTGTTGTAAAATTAGCCTAGTGAAGAAGTCCCAGACATGTATCTGCATATGCCCCTAAGTATTAAAAAATCTGTTACTTTGACCATTAAAAAGTAAGTGTTGATCTGGGCACCGTGGCTCATGCCTGTAATCCTTGCTCCTCAGGAGGCTGAGATCTGAAGATCACGGTTCAAAGCCAGCCTGGGCAGGAAAATCCGTGAGACTCTTATTTCCAATAAACCACCAGAAAACTAGAAGTTGTATTGTGGCTCAAGTGGTAGAGCTCTAGCCTTGAACTGAAGAGCTGAGGGACAGTGCCCAGGCCTGGATTCAAACCCTATGACTGACAAAAAAGAAAGAAAGAAAGGAAGGAAAGAAAGGAAAAGAAAAAAAGAAAGAAAGAAAAGAATTGAACTGCATTTTTCAGTTTGATTTTTTTAACACAAACACTTCTCTGACATTCATATTTTGGAAATCTTTTACTTCTGTACAGAAAATACTCATTCAGTATATCATATTGATCCTTTTTCATTCTTAAATACCATGTTATGAATTTTAGGTCTTATCTGAAGAGTAAATAATTTAGCCTTTTTATATTGACTTTTGACTAAATTAAGACATAAAATTTTGTTACTCCAATAGGATTTAGGAGGAAAAATGAGTATACTACTCGCTTTAATGCTTGTCCATTGCAAGCAGTATTTTGTATAATTTAAAATTATATGTTGTAAAAGAAAGCTTTCTCATAGTAGTTACAGAAAAAAATCACCCCAAAAATTCTTGGTGTGATTTTTTTTTTTTTTGCCAGTCCTGGGTCTTGAATTCTACCATTAAAGCCTCAGGTGTGAATTGTTTTTATATGTTTTTTATTGTAAAAATACTGTACAGAAGGGTTACAGTTACATAAGTAGGTAATGAGTACATTTCCTGTCGAGCATTGTTTTTCCTTGAGTTGTGTCAGTGTGTATGTGGGTAGTATCAATAAGTGAACTGTTGTTTTATATTTTCCTGAGGGCAGATTGTGGACTTACACAGAGGCCACTATTCTCTTTTTGAAAGTGAGAAGTGGAAAGCTTGAAGAGCTTGCCAGGTTAGGAGTGGGAAGTAGAGTGTATGTGCTATAGGTGCCCTTGAATTTGGCCTCTATTTTCTTTTTCTTTCTTTCTTTTTTTTTTTTTTGGTCAGTCGTGGGGCTTGAACTCGGCCTGGGCTCTGTCCCTCAGCCCTTCAGTTCAAGACCAGTGCATTACCACTTGAGCTACAGCGCCATTTCCGGTTTTCTGGTGGTTTATTGGAGACAGCAGTCTCAGAGTCTTTCCTGCCTGGGCTGGCTTTGAACCTCGACCCTCAGATCTCAGCCTCCTGAGTAGCTAGGATTACAGGCGTGAGCCACTGGCGCCTGTCCCTCTATTTTCTTTAGAACTGGCTAGGATGACCAGTCAGGAATAGTTAGCATCTCCTCAGTTTTTAAATATTTTCACTAAGAGATTTTGGAGAAAGCAAGTGAAATGGACCTGATAATCTACATTTTGTTGAATTTTGAGCATTCCTTTTTTTTAAACATATATATATGTATTAGCACATACATAAACAATATTTGAGGTATATAAACTTTTTAAAAAGATAGAGAAGGATTTTTTGCAGGGGGAGGGGGGGCCAGTCCAGGGGCTTGAACTCAGGGCCCCTACACTGTTTCTGAGCTGCCTTTTGCTCAAGGCTAGCACTCTACTACTTGAGCCAAGCTCCACTTCCAGCTTTTTTGGTAGTTTAGTCCTTTAGTGGAGATCAGAGGCTTTCCTACCTGGGCTGTCTTTGAATCAGGATCCTCAGATCTCAGCCAATGGAGTAGCTAGGATTACAGGCATGTGCTACTGGGGCCGGCCTGGCTGAGAAGGCATTTTTGTCATGATGACTGATTTCTGACCATAATAGATAATATAAAGTAAATGTGATTTTCTTTTTAAAATTTTGTTTGTAGCACTGGACAAGACACTGTTTCCAATCCTGCTTACCTGAGCCTGAACTCTAATCTTCAATCAGTTACTGGTACAGCTGCTTACACACAGCAGATGGGGATGTCTGTGGACATGTCATCTTACCAGAATACCGCTTCTAATTTGCCACAGCGAGCAGGCTTTCCAGTGGCTGTGCCTGCTCATTCAGTTGCACAGCAGCCCACAAGTTACCATCAGCAGCCGCTCCTTTAGAGACACAAAATCATCTTCTTAAAAGTGATCTTCATATGGGTATTCACTCAGTCCTCGTAGGTCCAATCTGAAAATATCAAAAAAGCTGTTCTCTCAACTCAAAAGGACCATGAATAAATAAAGCACAAAAACCTGTCTTACTCTGAAGGGCATAAAAGGTTTTTGGTTTTTTTTTTCAGCCCAGTTTATTAAAAGTTAGCTTCTTTAAGAGGCAGTCTAAAGATGCTTCCATGGGCTGGGAGCATGGCTTAAAGAGAGGACCTATCTAGCAGGCAAGACACCCTGATTACCACCATAATAATAAATAAATTAAATAAATAAATAAAGGAAAGAAGGAAAGAAAAACATATATGCTTCCAGGTAGCTTTATTTTCAAATCTCTGTATAAATCTGGACACTAAATAGTATGAGATAGGAAAGTAAAATTTTTACTGTGAAGAAACCATTCTTTTCCCACAAAAATGTGGTTTTAAGAGTACTAAAGACCTTTAAATATTTTTTTCAGTTTCCCTCACACTATTATCTTAAAAGGCAAGCATCTTTTTGTGTAAGCATTTAGCTTGCCAACGTATTTCCTTTTGGCTTCTTAAATTGCAGTTGTGTTTGCAGTCCTGTCAGTTTTGCTCCCTGTGTTAGGTTGAGTAATAATTAGCATATAGTTGTCTACGGAATCAAGAGCAACTTAGAAGGAACAAAAATGTTCTATGTTATCAACAGTGAGAACCATGCAAATGCAGATGTGTGATAAAGCTTTTAGCCAGCAATGTCCTTAACAACAGTGCCAACAGTGGGCTAAGGAATGTCCCACAAAACATTTCTAGTCCCTGAGGAAAAACACTTCCTTTTGTATAAAGGTCCCTGGTATTTAGAATTGCCACTAATGACCTTTTCAAGTGACTTTGGCCATTTTGTAATGAAGATACAGTCCAGTTGTTTTCTTTCCTGCCATGTAGTGTGCAGAGATGCTGCATTTCCTTTTTAGGGATTATAAGTGAATTTGAGCCTGGAGACATTCCTAATAATTAGGTGGTATATGAACCAAGAATGGATAAGTGTTTTTATTGGTGGGGTTTGGGGTTTTTTTTTAAGAAGTGATTCAGAACCTTTGCTAAGCTGTCATTGTGCCAAGTTATTTTAAATAAATTGCCCATTCCTTTCAGAAATAGTTCTGTACTTTTGGAGTACTAGCAGGTAATGATTTGAAAGAAGACAATGGACTGGTAAAAAAATGGTCAAGGCAATTTTTTCTGAAGTCTGTGTGTTTTACATTAGTTTATAGCATTACTAGATTCCATATACTGTAGAGGTTGGTAGTAAACTTTCTTCAAAAATTTGCACACTACTTTATTCTACCAACTTTTTACATAGCTCAAAATAGAAAAATACATATTTAGACTGGGAAAAATAATGAGCATAGTTTGATTTTTTTAAAAAGTTAAACTTTTTGCATGGGTGCAAGGTTTGTATGTTTGTTTTTTAAAGAAAGCACTTAATCTTTCTACTAAGAATCCATTTGAAGATAGTGTTCAAAAAAGATAGTTCTGAAAATTTTGTCATTTATTTATGCAAATTTGGTTACAAGTATATTCCTTTTTCAAAGAAATTATTCCAAAACAAAATAATTGTACATAATATTTGGTCTACATTTAAAGGGAAAGCAAGCAGTATTTCCAAGCCTAGTTTTGGTCTTATTTTCAGATCCAAGTAACTGGAAAGGAAGTCTTAACCTCTAACATGTTCTGTTTTTCATCCAGTATTCTTCCATGTGAATTCAGTTATATATAAAATTTTTTCTAAAATGGCACCTTACTTTTTTGAAAACAGATCTTCTGTTCTTTAAAAAATAAAAGTATCTAAAGCTGCTCTTATAATGTTTCCATATATGGAAAAATCTTACATTTTTCACCCAAGCTATATTTAATAAATTTATTTTAATGTTTATGTAAATAGTTCATGTTTAATTGTGATGTCAATTGTAAAAGCGTAAGTCATCCTCAGTCTTGGAGCCAGTATAAATACTGCACACACAGTAAGTTGGGACTGTCCAGTTAAGTTCAAGTAATGTAATTTTGGCATAATAAAACGTGATGTGTATGTAAATTGTGTATGTTGGCATTTATCTTTGAAACTTTATATCTGTATTTCTTCATCACTTTTTGTTTGTGCCATTTATAAGAAATTTTGTGTTGCAGGTTGTTGATAGTATAAAATGATATATCTGTTTTGATCTGGTATTTTTAGTATTAATAAGAAATGCAAGGTTATTTTTCTTTTCTATTATTTGATGACTTGTATTTATGTTAAGATGTTTATGATCAAAGTTAGATGTTTATGTTCCAAAGGAACAGTCTAACTTCAGGTTCTACATTGGATTCATATTTATTGTCTTATATAAATTTTTTAAGTAAGTTCTTAGTTTTCCTATGGAATTTCAATGCATTAGAAACAATTCCCTAAAATTTATAATAGAATTAACTATTAATATAGAAAAATACACTGTGTTAAAATATATTAAGCAATGTGTTCAAATAGTTTGAAAAATATAACCAACATGTCCTCTCATTTGGTAATTTATTTACAAAATTACCTAAATACTAAGGATTTATATTTATGATTTGGGATTTGAAGATCTAGTATCGTCTTATACATTTCAAGTAGTTGACACAGGACTATTTTACATATTGTACTGAACACTAAAAATGGTTATGAAGTTTCACTTTCTAAATTTTGAAAAGTTATTGCAAATGCTTTAAAAATAATGTGGCCTGGATGAAGATATAACGCAGTGGCAGAGCATATGGTTAGCATACGCAAGGCCCTGAGTTCTGTCTCCAGCACTGCAAAAAAAAAAAAACCAAAACCAAAAAACATGGGCTTAAGCATATACTTTAAAAAAGACTTTTCTTATTAGGAACCATAAATATGAAGGCTTCTGAATTCTAGAAGACTTGTTGAATTGTCATGATGCAAAGCTGGAATTATTTTTTTAATTATTCATAAATAATGTAGCAGTGACAGGATTTGTTTTGATCAAAAGGTAGTCTTTCTCCTTTATTTACATCAGTTTTTGTCAAATAAAAGGGAGAACTCAATTTGATTTGTTTCATTTAGTTTTCTTCTGAAGATTAAAATTTCTCCTGACCCCATGGTCCATGTGTAAGTTTTAAATTTTTCCAGAGAGGGGAAATTATTTTTAATTTTATCAAGATAAATTTGAATTTGAGAGTATTTGGGTTTTATTGTTCTTTGTTTTATAAACATTACTGGGTCTAAATGGGAAATCCTATGGCTCATATAATAGTTCACCCTCAAGTTCATGTGCAGCTAGAATGTCAGAATGTGACCTGATTTGGAAAGTAAGAGTCTTTGCAGATGTAATTAGTTAAGACCTTAAGTAGAAATCTTCCTGGATTTAGAATTGCTCTGAATCCAATCATGTTCCCATTAAGAACAGAAGAAAATACTAAGTCATAGTCAACTCCATGAAGATGGAGGTTGAAGTTGGAGTTTGTACTGAGACTGCTTATGTCCACCACAACCTGATAAAGGGAAGATAGTCTTCCTTAGAGTCTTCAGAAAGAAGTGTGGCCACATAGACTTCTAGCCTGTAGAACTCTGAGAAAATGTTTTTTATCATATTATTATATTAATGAATACATGGGTAAAACTGCATAACTTGTCTGAATACTAAGCACTGGGTACTTCTATAAGATTGGTTACGGGGCTGGGAAAGTGGCTCAGTGGTAGAGCACTTGCCTTGCATGCATGAGGTCCTGGGTTCGATTCCTTAGCACCACATAAGCAAAAAGAAAACAGCTGTAAGTGGCGCTGTGGCTCAAGTGGTAGAGCGCGAGCCTTGAGCCCAAGAGCTGAGGGCCCAGAGTTCAAGCCCCACGACCGGACTCCCTCTTTCCCCCCCCCCCAAAAAAAGTGACAGTTGGCACAAAAGTGCTGAAAAGATGTTCAATGGCAGGAATTGCATGGACGGATGAAACTAAGACACCTCCTAATCCCATAGTGCCATTTTAATTATTTTTATCCAATATCTACATTTTAATTACTGATTTCTTCATGCCAAAGCCATTCATAGTTATCAAGGTGACATTTTGCATTTACTACCTACCCATGGTGGGTATTTTAGGGTGGGAAGAATATTCAAAGGCAGGAACAGAGAAGAAACAAGAAAACTGGGTGAATGTCCACAAAGGCTACTCAGAATTAGAAATTTGTTTTTGTTCTATTTTACACCATTGTATATCCTAATGTGGAAAATAAAGGCTTTCCAATACATTTATAGCAAGCAAATACCTCTACCAAATACAATTGATCTATGAGCCAGCTACCTATTTTTTCTTTAATTGAGCAGGAAATTAACATAACAAACCACTGAAAACAATGCTGTCATTACCTATAGGCACAATGGGTGCACTCATCACCTCTAGCTTGAGAATTAGACCTTCTTTTGGTGTGGCTGCTTTTACTTAGCATGTGTTTTCTCATACCTTTTGTAGCATCTTTTTGTGGCTAAATAATATTACTGTGTATTTGTATACAATTTGTTGCTTCTGTGTTTTTGGAGATAGTCTCTGGCTCAGGCTGGCCTTCATCTCAAGATCATCCTTGGCCTTCCGAATGCTGGGATTTCCAAGCATGTGCCCCCAGGCCTGGCCCACCAGAGTTGTAAATTTTGATATCAACTTTCAATTTAAATGTATAAGATTGTTTTAACTTGGTGCAGGAGGGCTGGGAAGGTTGCTCAGTGGTCGAGCACTTGCCTTGCATGCATGAGGCCCTGGGTTCGATTCCTCAGCACCACATAAGCAAAAAGAAAAAAGCCAGAAGTGGCCCGCTGGCTCAAGTGGTAGAGCACTAGCCTTGAGCTGAAGAGCTGAGGGACAGCGCCCAGGCCCAGAGTTCAGGCCCCATGACCAGACCCCCCCCCCAAAAAAAAAATTGGTGCAGGATTCTGAGAAAGATATGTTATTCTCTGGCAGCTTTTTAAAAAAAAAGCTTTTGTGAAAATAAAAGTTTAAAAATTTAAAGCAAATCTATTTTTCCTTTATTGTTATTGCTTTCACTATTATAAGAATCCATTATAAAGTTGAAGATTATATTTTTCCCGTGTTTAGCTCCTATAACGTGTTGATAATTATTGAGTTAACTTTCTACATGGTAGGAGCTATAGGGAACTAGCTTCTTTGTTTTGTTTTGTTTTTCTTTTGCTGATAATGGGGCTTGAACTCAGGTTTTTGATTTAGCTTGACTTGCTTCCTGGGCTGACTACCAGTTGAACCACATTCCAACCCTGCTTTCTTTTTGTTTTTGCTGGTAATGGGACTTGAACTCAGGGCCTGGGAGCTGTCCTTGAGCTTTTTTGTTTAAACCTAGCACTCTATCAGTCACAGCTCTACTTCTGGCTTTTTGGTGGTTAATTAGAGATAAGTCTCATGGGGTTTTCTGCCTGGTGTGACTTTCAAACCTTGACCTCAAATCTCAGCCTCTTGAGTAGCTAGGATTATAGGGATGAACCACTGCCACCTGACCTAGCTTCATTCTGTATCATGGAGTTCCAGGACTATTTGTTGAAGAGGCTTCTTTTTCAGGCTCCTTTTTGACACCAGTATGTACCAGTTCTAGGATCTCAGTTGTCCAGTTTGATACATTAAACCTGTAGCTATATAACTTGAAGTTCCAAGAGCTGACAGCTTTGTTTTCATTTAATCCCTTCTGTCATATCTAAAGAAGAGACAATGCTGTCTTGTTAACATATAGGTCTGAGTGATGTCCATGGGGAGATAAAAATGATTGGGAAAATGCATATGTATTTATTTAAGCAACTGCAGACATACGGCATAGGGAAGAGTGCATTGTCTACATAGAAAAATGAGACTGTGCTGTAGCCAAAAGTGATCATATTTTTCTTCTGGGAAACCTGCGAGATTCTTTATGTACATGTCATTGGTTAGAACTGTGCCAAACTACAGTTGCCTACATTTGCAAAGGAGCCTGTGTGATTGTAGAAATGTACTGGATTTTTTTTTTTTTTTTAATATCTGCCACAAAATCAAACCTCATCTGGTACTGGTGGTTCTCACTTATAATTGTAGCTACTCAGGAAGCTGAGCTCTAAGCCATCCCAGTCAGGAAAGTCCCTGAGATTCTTATCTCCAACTATACATCAAAAGCTGGAAGTGGAGCTGTGGCTCAAGTGGGTGTGCTAGCTTTAATCCAGAAGCAGCTCAGGGACAAGACCCTGAGTTCAAGTTCTAGGATCAGCAACAAAAATAACCCTCTCCAAGTGTGTCTACAGCCTGATTTATTTGTGTATGTTGTAAATTGAAATTGAATTGGACTTTTGCAATTCCATGGTCTAATTACTAAGTTTCTCTAATGCAAGTATACCATAGCTTTAGTCAGGCAAAGCTAGAATTAATATATTTACATCTGACCTGGTTGTTAGAACTGGGACACCTTAAAAAAGTCAAACCTGGAGATGGAAAAAGCCTGCGAAGAGAAAATAGGAGTAAAAGATACTGATATTGCCTAAGATTCCTGATCTTTGATTAATACATTCATTATCATTCTATACCAAGGGTGCTCAAAACTTGCATTTCCAAACCTGAATTGTATTTATGGCTTCACAGCACAAACTGTGACCTATGAGGCATTGTATGTTCATTAAAACTCTTAGTTGTCCTCTTCAAGGACTACCCGAGCCCGAGCCTGCTTAGCTGCCAAGCTCAAACAAGATCAGATGGGCACATGTAGAATGATATGGCCATAGACAAACCATTTTTCATTTGCAGTGACTAAATTCTCATAGTGCTTGTTAGAAAGTACAGGAGGGGATTAAGTGACATAGAGCTGCATAGTAAGTGGCAAAGCTGGGATTACAAAGCACTTGCTTCTCCCTGCTACAGAATTATGTATGTATTAAGGTTGTCAGATCATATTCTCTGCCTCCTCCTTTCCCATACTTCACAGGGAACTGGATATAAAATGCCTTCAGATACAAGAAAGCTAGCAAAGCACGTAATAGTGGATGCATCTACTCTATGTGTACCTGTGATGGGCTAATGGGCCTGAGTTTGATATAACTGGACAGGCTTTTTTCTGAGAACCTCTGTGGCATTGTCATACCGGATGGGTCAGACATTGGTTTAATAAGTTTACAGAATGCTGAGTTTTCTGAGCATGAGTTAAATCCAAGAAACTTCTATAAAGAAGCAGCAGATGACCTCAAGTTGAGGTGGTTCATGGTTTTGAGAAGCAAGATTCTGAATGGAGGCCTCTGACCTAGGGTCATACCTGAACCAAGGCTGCTGAGAACAACGACAACAAAAAGATGCAGATTGGGCTTATGGCACTGGCACTTCTGGTCCAGGGCAAACATATTATGGTTGTTTCACCTTTGTTAACCTTTCTAAGTCCTCTTTCACATAAGCTACACTCAATTCCCCAGGTGTCACTGTTTCAGATTTTTGAACAACTCCTTATTTGTTCCAGAGAAAATGTTTCTAGCTATCTAATAAATCATTCTTTCAAGTGTCAGCCCACTGGCATTGGCTTCCAAACCATTCTGCTCCTTCAAAGCATCTTGTGAGTATGGTATAGTGGTGCTAGGCCATGTTGTATCGGATTCATCTCGTGGTTCTGTCTATATCAGAACTTTGGTTCACTCAACATGCATTTCCAACCATCTCCTTGTCTAAATTC